TTTTTTTTTTAACAATTTAACAAAAGCCAGAGTTTGGAACCTCCTTAGACACCTTTCCCAGCGTTGTGAGTACTTGCGCACGGGCCCCTGTGGATTCGTGTCCCACTGCCCTGCAAGGCTGCTGGGAGGTGTAGAGTTCCACGCCCAGCACTTGGCCAGCGTTCGACCACTGTCAGGCCTGGCCCCCTCCCCTGGATGTCCTTTTTTGTATCCTTACATTGCTTTACCTGTGCCTCTTGCATTTTAATTACTGGCAGAGAGTAAGTGCCCTGAGTGAATAAAAAGGCGTAATTTTTTCAAAGACCTTTTATGGAGTCCATCAGCCAATTGGAGTTGATCAGAGACCATCTTCAAGAACTTTTAGCACTTTGGCATTTCGTTATTCGCTAGAAGTTGCTTCTTGGCTTTGGAGTTACTCCTCCCTTACGCAACCCCATGCACACTCGCTCTTTACACTTCTGGGCACTTCCAAGATGTTGGAAGGTGGATCTCCAATAATGGGCTTCACCATGTATGTGCACCCACATCCCTCTTACATGGCTGTAGTCCTGGCTTTTGAGGCAACTGATAATGACTTCTACATGTTCTGTATTTTAACATACATCTTACTGGAACTTTGGGCCACAGAAAATTTCAGTGAGTTGTATGGTGTGTGTGTGTGTGTGTGTGTGTGTGTGTGTGTGTTTCATCTCCTACAAAGAGCAGATTGTCTCCAGAAACCTAAGCTGGCCTTAGGAAAATGCTTGGGGACTGGATGAGTATCTCCCAATGACGTGTCTCATGTTTTTAGGCAAAGCTCAATTGGGATCTTTTAGACAACTTCATGTATTCTAGGTGTCCCTTTCCCTTCATTGCTCCTTTTGTGTCACGCTGGTTTCCTCATTTCCCAAGAATGTATTAATAAGGCATTGGCAATGTCTGTTTTCACAAATTTGGGGTGTGTCACTTTTTGTTGGGCCCATTAGTTAAGTTGTTAAACCAGCTTTTTTTACTTGACTGCGTTGAACGGTGATGACTTCTTGGCCATCAATGGTCAGTCTGGTTTGTGTGGCAGACAGAGGCTTAGTTGTAAAAAAAAAAAAAAAAAAAAAAGTGGCCACACCCTAATATCCTCAGGTTATTAAAGATTTCTAAAACCAAGGACCACTTTGTTTTAGGTGTATTCCAACCCCAGCGCTTTGGGACTTGATAACAAAGGAATTGTTGACTTGGCCTTGCTACAGTCCAGCATTGTAAGAAGATTAAGAAATGGTGACTTATTCTCCTCCTTGGCAGGTTTACAGTATCCAAGTGTGGGGTACCTTTTCTTGGGGACACTTCAGTAAAGTTCATTGAGAAGGAAGGAAAGGACTAGTTCCTGTGAATTAGCACAAGTCCCTTTGGAATGCAGTGAGGGCAGGCGCCTGGGTGGCTCAGTCCATTGGGCATCTGACTTCAGCTCAGGTCAGGATCTCACTGCTCGTGGGTTCGAGCCCCGGGTCGGGCTCTGTGTTGACAGCTCAGAGCTTGGAGCCTGCTTTGGATTCTGTGTCTCCCTCTCTCTGTGTCCACCCCCTCCACCCCACTCAAGCTCTGTCTCTGTCTCTCTGTCAAATATAAATAAACATTAAAAAATTAAAAAAAAAAAAAACAGAATGCAGTGAGCTTTAAGTAAGCTTGGATAGCCAGCAAGAACTGTATGACACCTGGCCTTCCTTCCATTCACACACATGGTAACAAAATGCTTCTCTTGAACAAAGGACCCTGTGTTTGCTGCCATGGGACCAGTGTCCTCTCCCCAGACATTTTCCCTCCACGAGGGCGTGCCCAGATGACCACACACTCAGCTCTCAGACTGTAGCACAAAAAACAAAGGGAAGCAGATCTCAGGACACAGAGCACACCCGAACAGCCATCTGTCTCTGCCCTTTTCCCTGAGGGTCAAGACACCCTGGCCCAACCTCAGTCTTCATTCTGTCTTTGTCCACTTCCCAAGTCACTTTAGACAGCATGGACTTGTATTCTCAAAACATGGCATTTGGCTGTATTTACCTACATCCAACACTCAATATAAGACTGAAGTAAATTGGGAAGGGGAACTAGTCATTAAATATACACACTCACATTTTATCGAGTAGAAATTAATGCTCCTCCCCACCCCCAACAAAGGAAACTGCAGTCTTGGTAGTTTCTTTCATTGTTGAAATGAGTAGATTTGACCAATTCTCAGTATTAAATTTCAACCCATTTATCAGGGAAAGAAAACATCCATCTTTGGGCTATGGTAGAACACAAGCAAATAACATGCTATGAAATTTAGCTCAAACTTTTTAAAAGCAGATTCCTCCCATGAACTGTGTCAATAAAACACGTGGGAGGGGAGACAAGTTTACAAATTGCCTTCTTCGGGAAGAAGTGATGTGTCAGGTTCTGAGCTGGTGTCCAGCTGCCACCCAAGATGTGGCAGGTGTAGCCGCTACTGCCTTTGTGTAGCTGGAGACGTATTGAAGTGAATTTTCAGAAAATGTGAACATTGGGGCACCTGGGTGGCTCAGTCGGTTAAGCATCTGACTCTTGATTTCAGCTCAGCTCATGATCTCACGGTTCGTGAGTATAAGCCCCCACGTCAGGCTCTGTGCTGACCCTATAGAGCCTGATGGGGATATTCTCTCTCTCTCTCTGCCCCTCACGCACTGTCTCTCTAAAAATAAATAAATAAAAATGTAAAAAATTATATAAAAAATGCAAACATTAAAGAAACCGAATATTTACTATTCAGCTCATAGCAGCAATGCTAATGACAGATTATCACCAGAAATTTGTAACTTCTAAAAGCGATATATTTTCACTCTCCTGTTACCTGACTTAATGTTTTTTGACTTAATCGAAGAAAATCGACTCCAAAAAAAACTGATATTTGAAATGAGTTCATTTAAAATGTTGGTTGGGTCCTTGATATGAAAGACCACGCTAAATTACCAGGCAGTAACATGAATGTACAGATGACTGGGGACAGAGCGGGCACAGTGAGGGCC